AGTAGGAGAAAACTGTATGTAATTATATACAGAACAGTTGGGATTTTGAGTAATAAATACTGGGGGAAAAATCCTAATTTGTAGGTAAAATTTACATTGGAATGAAATGTACGGTAGAAAAATATGTCAGACATAGTCCAATATTTGTGTGAAAAGAGATAAGATTAGAATATTGAGAGAGTGCCTTGAAAGCTTGTGTAGGAGAAAATGGGCTAAAATACAAATGTAAGGATTAAAATGGTCATTTTGATTTTATCTCAGCTAATTTTATGTTTTTGTTTTTTTTTGTTTGTTTGTTTGTTTTTCTCCGGTACCGGGAACCGAACTCACGACTTTGTGCTTGCCAGGCAGGCGCTTTTGCCGCTGAGCTAAATCCCCAGCCTATCTCAGCTAATTTTAAAAATAACATGTTTTAGAGAAGTGGTTCTATATAATTGGACTTAGCTTTTGGTAGCAGTTTTGCTTTTCAGTGTATTTAGGATATGAATGTGTTTAAAATTGAAGTGGGTTTCTTAACTTTTGTGGTGGTTTTTAATACAGTAGCACTTTATTTCAGTTTATCCTGTTGCTTAGAGCATATTTTTTGTTAGCAACCTGTAGTCATTTCTGTCTTACTTTGCAAAAGAGTTTATTTATTTGTTTTTGTTTTTGTTTTTTTGGTACGGGGAATCAAACTCACGACTTTGCACTTGCCAGGCAGTCGTAGTGCTGCTGAGCTATATCCCTGGCCCCAAAAGAGTTTATTTAAAAGATTTGTAAGTTTTACTGACTTTGTTGAAAGTACGCTTCTTTTGTATACTATGGTAGTGACATTTACGTATCTCCTTAATTGACAAGCTACCTTTTAAGAGAAATTATTTTCAACCTTTAGGTAAGTATAAGGTTAATGGTGCTTGCCTACTGATTACTGACTTTAGCTTCCACTGATGCTTTTTCCTGTTTGAGTCAGCAGCTTTAAAACCAAAAATTGTAAGATCTATCTTGAAGATCTAGACTAATAGAAGCAAATCATATATATTTAGGCAGGTCTGATGAATACATTTTCCAAACTTATTTCATGCATTAACCCATAATGGAAAAATTTGAAATAGTAGGACAGTGAGAAAAATTTTAGAAATGAAATGAAGTATTTCAGAGACAAATATCAAGATTTAATAAGCAACTTACCCTTTTAGGCTTTGTATTTCAGTCTAGTTTTCATGTTGCACTGTATTTAATTGAGAAAACACATAGGTTGATGCCCCCTTGTGGTCTGTTACCAAAATAAATAGCACAAATATAAATAAGTACTGGAGATCTTATTGTGTATTAAACCATTCATTCATTGTTTGTAAAATAATTTTTATAAAGCAGTTTCTAAGGAAAACCAGCCAAGGAATTATTATTCCTGCTCTCTATATAATTTATTGACCTTAGACCCCAAAAATATAATTTTAGCATTTTAACAACATGTTATGGACACATATCATATATAGAAAAGTAGGTTGTCAGGTGAGTTGTCCACCGTGGTCGACCTAGGCATTAAGTTATTGTATTTATTACTGTTAAAAGTGACTTAAAAATACTGTGAGATGTGTTAGTCATTATGAGGTTAGCCTATTACTTCCCTGTCCTCCCCCCGAAACACACACACACATGCACACCCATACACACTCATGCAAAGGCACGTGTGTAAATGGTGCTTGGGAAATTTGTAGTTCACACTGAGTCATCTGATCTAAAAGGGCCTGGAGTACTGTGAAGCAATGGAAGAAATAATTTATATTAATGAATTGGTGAATTTAAGCTTATTTGCTTTCATTATTGGCAAGGTCTTGTTTGTATATGAGTGTTGAGGGAAGTTGAGAACATAGCAACAATATTTTAAAAGAGGCTGCCGAAGTAAATAGCTGCTTTTTGTGTTGTGCAGTAAGCTACATGATGGTTGAAAGCATTCCAGATACAAGGGAATAAAGGGCTTTGGTATTAGATAGACCTGGTTTTAAAACTAATTTCATCTCTTACCAGGTCTTGGACTATTGTATAATATTGAGTAAGTTACTGCATCTCGGAACACAGTTTTTCTTTCTTCAGAATTAGAAGTTAAAACCTAATTCATTGAGATGTTTACATATTGATTGATTTTCATCATATAAAGGCTTTGCTTATACCACTGCTGTTATAAATCTTAGGTTAAGGCCAGTTTTGAGTTATAAAGAAAATATGCCATATGATTTTGTAGTACTGGGTTGTGGTAAACACCCTTAATGATAGTCAGTATCTTAAAAAGTGCTCAGTCAGGTAATAGTCCTTTTTCTTTACTGTGCACTTACAGCTATACTACTATATGAATGCATATTTATAAATTCTTGACTGTGAGTACAATCAAGTGTATATTAAGAATTTCCTAGGTCACTTAACAGTAGAAATTGTTAGGCTGTTTATAAAAATGATACAGAAAGTTAATTTTTTTTTTAAAGAAGTAACATTTGCAGATTTTAACAGATTTATCTTTAACAAAGTCTAACAAAGTAAAACAAACTAGTATTGTTCCTCCATAGCAATTTTACTTTTTTGGAGGTCAACAAAGTGATAAAATATTTGTTTTATTTTTCAAGAGTTGCTTGTAGAACCAGACTCACAGTTTCACAGTCACTTCATTTAATACTTAAAGGAATTAATTTTGACTTTTCAGTAGAAGGCATAAGATTATTAGAGATTAACTTCATAGAAAAGTAAGGTTTTTCTTTTCCTTTTTACCCAGGTACACTCAATTTGAATCATACGATGTTTTCTCTTTTAAAATTTTTTGCCAGTTAAAAGTATTTTAAAATATAAAAACAAGTGTTTGTGTTCAAATATGTTTTTGAAAGTAAGTGAATCATAAATCTTATAAACAGAAATAACAATAGAAACATCATTGGAAGGTTATTATATGCATTTTCTTATCTGCTGCTTTACCTTTCACTTTATTTCTGATTTTCAAAATATCATTTCTCAAGTCTGCTTGAGACATTCGAAAGTGTTGTGCTAAATGCTGTATGTAACCAATAAAGACATTAAATGTAAAGCAGTGTTTTGGTAGTGAGAACTTCAGTTGTAAATTACAAAATGGATTTTTGTTGTTGGTATATCCTTGAATATCTGTGCTGAGACTGTTTTAGGAAAGAAAAAGGGTTGGGGGTGGGGGAGGGATGGCTAGAACAAAGTAGAGGGGTGGACTCAGGGTGATGGCACGAACCCGTGCCATTCTACCAGTGACTTGTTTTTAAACACAAAACGCATATGTGCCAAATTTACATATTTACTAATTAAAAAGGCTTCCTGGAAACATTAAGTAGACTATCTTCTATAACCTTTAACACTGTCACTAATGGATATAGCCTAGAAAATTTCATTGAAGGTCCTTTAAATAATGTAAATGATTATGAATATGTAACTAGTTAATATGCAGCTACGAAAGGATTATCATGTAGAGGTTAATGAACATTCTGCTCTTATGGTTTGCAGGGGTATTCTTTTTGTGCTTTTGGCTCACTTCATGCTTGGAAACACAGGCATTGGGATTGGAAAACATTCTGTTTTTGGGTCTCATCTTTTAATAGGGTTGTTAAATAGGAACTTTATAAAAAGGATTTCATGAAGATTTTTTTCTTTTTCAATTTACATTTAATTCTCTTTGTCTATTTCATAATTACTGTTAAATTACAAATAGTGAAATGGATTGATGTAGTTTTAGCATAGCTCTTCCAGATGTAAAGTCACTACTCTATTATATATTACCACTGTTATTAAGTGTTGCCATGTGATTGATACTTACTGAGAGATCTTCATTCTAAAGCAGACTTTTTATGCTGAGTTAATGTGTAGTATGGTTGGGTATCTGATTACAGCATGTATTTTGGTGCAGGATTGCTGCCTTAGTATTTAAAATGTCCCAAAGGAGGACATTTATTTCAGGAATTAAATGTTGTAATAGAGGAATTTAGTGACAGGTCTAAAAAAAATCTTGTGATTTTTGGGTGAAACATTTAGCATGTACAAGAGATAATATTGCTATTTAGAACAGTAAACTGGAGCAGTGTGTTGTGAACCAGATCATACTGCTATCTTCTTCATGTAGCCTTGGCATTTTGGCTTTTATCACTTAGTTTCTCTGTCTCTAAAATGGTGCTGTGGTATTCTAGATTACTGTTTAAAATTTTTATTAGTGGATAGTAAGTGATCAACAATCTGTTAAGATGGTATTAATTTAAAAATTGCCATTCAGAAAGTCTTTTTTTTTTTTTTTTTACATTGTACTTTCTGATGCTGATTGGTTTTCTGAGCATTTTGAGAATCTGCTGAAATATTTCAAAAGCAAACAATTTTTTTCTTAATTCCATTGTTTTGGTGTTATAAACATAGTTTAAATTGGCTATGAAGTGCTTAAAATTTTATCATTGTTCACTGGGGAAAAATGAGCTGTTCAGAGCATCTCTTTATCCCAAGTATTTCTTCTTGAAAATGTAGTAGAAAAATCTCACTGAACTCATTTTTAATACATCAGAATAAAAATTACAGGGGAAAACATTTGGAGATATACTGACAAAATAAAATATTTTCACCACTCTTTTTGTTTTTTAACTGATGAAACGTGGATGTTACATTGGTTTCTTATTATTTATAACATTTGCGTATTCGACAAAATATGTAACATTGAAAACAGGTCTATAGATTGTACAAAATACTAGTTATCTTATATCATATGTCACCTAATAGTTATGAAGAGGGTTTTGTACCACAGTATGAATTGGAAAGCTGTAATTTGTTCTGTAGTTATCAGCCTGCATTAGAGGGGTATGATAAAGTATGCTGCTTAAAAACTAACGTTCACATCTCTGTGCCTTTGACAAATAAAAATGTATACTGGGATGCTATTAAATCTATAAAGCCACTGTTCTAGTTTTCTGATATACTGATTTTGTAGCTCTGTGCATAGCTCTGTTTTTTTCATGAGTAGTTATCTGTTTTCATGACAGGTGGTCACTAACTGCCAAGAGAAAATCCAGCATTGGTGAGTGAAAGATGGTTTTATTATACTTCTGAAATACTAATGGGGTCATCTACTCATATTTAAATGTGTGTACTGGGGTGTGTATGTGTGTGTGTGTGTGTGTGTGTGTGTGTGTGAGATGTGTAACCAGTAATTGAATTCTATTAATCTCCATTTTGAATGCTTTTGATACAAATTTATATTGTCTTTCACCCTTTTGTGAGTAACATGTTCCTTGATTTCAGAGGTTGTGTCATCATTGATGTTTTTATTCTAATTGTTTTCTTTTTCCTTTCCTGTTTTTAAAAGTTAGAATAATAGTAATATTATGAAGTGCAAACAGACATTTTTGAACCTAACTGATCATAGAGAGCTCTGGTTGGGGGCTATTTGTAGTAGAAAATGAATTGGAATTAGTTGTTCTAAAATAATAACGGAAGCATGGCACAGATACTTCCCAAAGTTTAAAAAATGTAACTAATTCCATTTTGGAGCTTGCTTTATGGATTGTACTTTTTTAGCAAGAAAGAAAGCATATTTATTTTAATGTGCTAATCTATAGTTAATAGTACAATGCTTAGTAAATAACATACTTTTCTATTGCTTCTGAGGAAGATGCACAATTTAATGGTGAATAAAATCTTATATTATGAGTTATCATGAAGTATAGCTGTTGATCTTACAGATATCAAATTACAATATATCCATGCTGTGTTTACGAAGATTTTACTGAGAGAACAACAGGAGCTGTCTTGATTATTGTCTGCAGGGTTATTGCAAAATCATGGTAACTGCCCCTTTAGTGGTGAGATTAAACCTTCGGTTATACACCATCAAGCATATAATATTTTAAATTTATTTTAAGAGGCTTTTTCTTCATGCCTGAGAGATCTCCAAGGAAATAATTTATAGTTAGTGTATATCAAATGTTTTTTGGTTTAAATGCACATAAGCTGCAAGCAGTGGATAAGAGTAAAAATCAGCATAATCTGTACACATCATCTTATTAAATTTTGACTATTTGGTTTGCAGAAAATAATCTAAAACTAATAATATCCACTTTATAAATAAAAATTCAGGACTTCATTAATTTTCAATAAATGCATCATTGTAGTTGCATCCACCAGTGGTGTAAGTCTGTCAACATTTCCATAATGGACTATTCACTTTTCATTATACATTCAGTTCAGGTTAAACTGTGAAATGCAAGTTGTTGGCCAAAGAATGTTTTTTCCCTGCAAATTTGGCCAGAGTGAGCCATTTTATAAATAACTTCCACGGGAAATTTTATCAATGTGGTCTTCTATCTGTGGGTTTTGGTTAAGGAGTTCAGGAAATTAGAAGAGATTGTATTCGCTCACAATACTAGTTTACACATATTTGTGAATTATTACTTGGCTCTTGGTTGGTTTAGTAAAATTCTGTATTAGAGTTGCTTAAGAATCCCGGACATGTTTTTATTGTTATCCACAGTCCATCCTACTGTGTTTAGTTCAAAATAGGTACTTAATGTTAGGATAAATGAAGAGGAACTGTGTAGTTATTTTATACATAACCTTTTACTTTAGAAATAGCAGAAGTCTGGTGAGCAGTGAGGGGCAGAAATGTGACACTCAAGGCTTGTGTAACCTTCACTCTCACTCTCCAGGCTTCTAAAGCCCTCCAAAATACACAAGCTTAGCATATTTGCCTACATGTATCTCGAAGTAATACCATACCTTATCTATACATTAAAAATTAAGTTTTTTTTCAATTTATATTTGCTTTTTCTTCTGAATCATTTCTGCTATGCTTCAGGAAACAGACTTTTCTGTTTGCTTTTTCATGAGAATCTGTACATGGCATATTGCTAGAATCTAAATGGGCAGTGAACTCATCAATTTATTATATTCAAAAACTGAAACCAAAGTGTCTCCATTCTTCTGAAAGCCAGGGAATTGCTATTTGGGAGTATTGTGAAATTCTTGGATATTTTCACATTCTCTTAATTCCTGAAACAATAATTGAGTTCCTACACATGCCATTATTGTGCTGCTCTTTGAAATTGAAAGACCCTACCATAGAGGAATTCGTAGTCAGATGCTAAACAGAGAAGTCACAGTAATTTTGTGCTGTTTGCAGAGATATGAAGCAAATACAGCGGGAGTTCAGAGGGTGGAGCCTTTCTTAAGCTTGTTTTACATGTTAGTAGGTTTAAAAACATATTGCTTTTAATTCTTTGACCCTTAGTGCTAGCCCGCTCTAAAACGTAGTTTGTTTAGCTACACTGTTATTCTTTATGAGTGTGTATTCTTACAACAAAGAGGAGCAAAATAATGATTTTTTTAAAATGCATTTCTTTTTAACTGATGTTTATGCTTGTTTAGTTTTAAAGGATTTTTTTTTTAAATCAAGTGACAAGTAATGTATATTCTAGACTTCAGAAATAATCTAAGTATTTGAAAGTGTAGGGCAGGAAATAAAAATAGTTTTAGAGAAGCAGGAGTGAAAATGGTCTGGGACTATAGGACTTGCCCAGAAATTCTCTTCCAGAAAATTAAATTCTAAAACTATGGGGAAGAAATTTATAGTATTTATTAGTTAATAACAGAAAGGAAGTATGTAAGACTAATTGGTCAGCATTTGTGACACTGGTTGAGCATTATTAGTGGTTTTCAAGTTAGTGAGGTTTTAACATTTTTTTAGATAAAGCTTTTTTTTGCCTTTATAATTCTTTTACTTAGAAGGTGTTATAAATTCCAGACACTGTTTTCTCACTGAAGTGTAAGTATTGCTGGATATGGTGGCGCACACCTGTAATCCCAGCACTTGGTAGACTGAGGCAGGAGGCTAGCCTGGACTACCTAATGAATTCAAGGCCAGCCTGAGCCGCATAACAGGACCCTATCTCAAATAAAAACAACAAAAGTAAGTATCTGTCCCATTGGTCCACTAACAGCCAGTTATTCTGTTTGTGGATTATTTGTAATTTTTAAACATTTTTAAGTTCTTTCTCAAAAAGCATAGATTTTGGAATCCTGACCTACATTTGAGTCCTTTTATTTTTGACTTTGTAACCTTGGGCAATTATGCTAGGAATGTCAGTTTCTATAACTGTAAAACTACACTAGTTAACTCACAGAGTTGTAGTCAACATCGGATGGAATGATTTCTATGGAACAGTCAACCTAGCACTTAAGTATTAGAAATAACTTGTACATCTTTTCTGGAAGTTTTGTCAGATAAATAAAGAAAAATATAAGTAAAAAAGTGTACGTTTTGTAAATATTTTTGTTTTGTATTCATGACATTGTCTTTTTATCTTCATAGAAAGTTAGCTTTCTGAGCATTGTTGTTACAGCTTTATATTAATATTTTAAAATAACTCTTTGTTACAAAGAATTTCTTTTAACAAAGGGGAGGAAGGTGCCAGAGAAGTATAATGAACTTTCATGTAATCATCAGTCAGCTTCAATAATTACTAACTCTTGATTTCATCATTTTAATATCTGCCCTCTACCTCACTACCAGTTATTTTGAAATGAATCTAAATCATACTCCATGTGGAAATACTTCATTATATGTTTAAGAGATTAGAAAAGACTATACACTAGCTTTTTAAGGTCTAAATAGAAAATTTTACCAGACCGTAAATTTATGGCTCAAGATTTAAGAGATAAAAAAAGTATAAATGATAGTTTCTTCCTAGCCTTTTCCCCCAGTTCTCAGTTGTCTTGTCTAGAAGCAACTGTTTTACTAATCTCTTATAAATCTTTTCAGAATCCTTTTGCAGAAGTTAGTGATATATATTTATTTATGCATTAATTTTGTTACCATCCCTTTGTTCAGAACAAAGCTGTATTGAGAGAGATTGCCCTCAGTTAATTAAATCTTATTGTTTACATAGATTTTGTTTTGTCAGAGGTCTTGTAGGGTCACCAAATGCAGTTTGGTACTAGTTTTTTTTTTTGGAGATAGGGTCTCACTATGTGGTGTAGGCTGGCTTTGGCTGACGTGGGTAGTCCAGGCTGACCTTGAACTCAGAGTGATTGTTCTGCCTCAGCCTCCTGAATGCTGGGATTACAGGTGCTTGCCATTGTACTGGCTAGTTTTTTCTTAATAAATAATGGACACATCATTGAGATGATGGCTCTACAACTCGTGTGTGTTTGATAAGATGACACATGCTTCATATTTTTTGCTCCTCAATAAAATTACCCCATAACATAATAGTTGAACACAACCACCATTTATTTGTGTGCATACTGAGCAGGGGTCACTTGTGTTCCTCTTATACTAGACTTGTATGGGCTCACTCATTTTGTTGCAGCCATTTGCCTGATGGGTCAGCCAGGTTGTCCAAAATGGGTTTTCTCACAAGAATGAGTCTAGTGTTGGCTGTTAGCTAAGCCTCTTCATCCTTGTGCTCACTTTCTATGGTGATCTCAGGGCAGCAGGAAGGGAAGTTGCAAGGCCACAGAAACTCACAGAGCCAGTCTATATTCAAAAGGTGAGGAGATAACCTGCACCTGGTGATAGATGTGACAAAGAATTTATGGTCATTTTTAATGCACCGTAGATGATTTCTACTAAATATATCCCACAAGAAAAAAAAGTCTTACTATTTTATATTGACTTGTGGGAATTAAATGAAGTAATGCATGTGATGCCTGACATTCAAATCATCTATATGTTAGGCATTGTTTATAATCATAAATTGTATGCTTGTGAGTCATAAAAATGTCTTGCTTCCTTTAAATCATCTTAAGAGGATTTTAAGTAGTAAAGCTATCTATAAAGTTGCATGAAGCAGACTTAAATGAAAATAAAGAAGGTATTTGTTCAAGTGTTTAATTTTAGAAAGAGTAGCTTTCAATTTAAACATAAAGTTGGGAAGCACTATGCGTGTGAGTTTTGAACAAAAGGTTCTAGAGCATGTACTTCAGATTAATTATGTTTTGTAAGGTAACAGGACAAAAACTACTGCTTTGAGGAAGAGAGTAGTTTCTAAGATAAAAAAATATAACATGATACGATATGAT